ATGCGTGACTGACCGTGAACCTATAACCCATGTTTCACGTGTTATGCAGCAACAGCAAGCACAGGACATCATGGAGCTGAGGTTAATTTTATACCTGTTGCTTACCACAGCACTCATAGCTGTTGTTAACTCTCAGATTCCTTTACCAAAACGCCCACTGGGATTTATTTACAAAGGAGGCGAGCCAAGCGCTCCAATTCATCTGACAGCATTTGTAGATTTGACTTGTCCGGATAGCCAGCGAGCATGGCCGACGGTCAAAAAGGTTGCAGATATGTATGGACCCGAAACCATCCGGTTCACTGTGCAGTTGTTCCCGTTACCTTATCACACTAATGCATTTATGGCCGCTCAGGTGAGTCGTGAAGTTTTGAACAAGGCGAATTCGTTTTGCTCACTTCCCCTCTGTTGCAGTTAGAACCTGTCCAGGCTTTGTCCTATCACATGTACGTACGTGACATTTATGTTTCTTGGCTATTGCATAACGATTTCAACCGGTATGAGAATGCACGGAAATCGCACTTAATACTAAATTGTGTCGAAAAGAAAATTGATTTAAGTGGCATACAGTACTTTTTATCTTATGTCTGTCTTTTGGGCAAGGCGGGTAAGTTTACTTACAGCAAAGTTTTGAGCACATACTCGTGCTTCGTTTTAAGGTGGCCGAACACAGTTTTCAAGAGCCTATGCCTAATTCACCATTACTTTTAAGCTATTTATGCTTTGGCGCTTGTTTTTTGCAAGAGTCAAGGTTAACCACAGAAAAGTTTATTCTCGCATTTTGGCTAAGGTGTGTGCCGTTGCCATAATTAAACACCTAAAGGGGACCAATCTGGGCATGATTACCATTTACTGTTCAGGATAGGAGCCAACACTAGTAGACCGGACTCGGGAGACCAGTGGAAATAGAACCTTTAAACGGAAATAAGAGCTTTTTTAATTACTATTTCTTCAAGAGTACCCTAAAAGATGCTTTGACAGGTAAAAATAGTTGCATTTCTAAGTGAGACCAGAATCTTGAATTATACACCTAACTGAGATGATGAGAATACCTGACCTTGTCATATGGGAATCTCCCTCAAACCTTTAGGCACAGTTGCACTTGGTTAGCAACCCATCAGATATTAAAATAAATGGCAGGCAATCCATGCAGAAGTGATGACATTTAACAATGCCATTTCTAAAATTCTGTCTAGAAAATCGCAAAACAAACAAACAGATGCTCAAACATAAGGCATGGGTTGCACTGTGGAGTTTTTTTGTTTTTGTCACACAAGTTTGTCAGGGCACTCAGGGTCGCATGTTTAGGACATAAAAGGTCATTGTCAATACCAGCACCATCAACATTACCATCATCATCATCAGCATCATCGTCATAAAAGTCATCTTCTTTGTCATAATCATCAATTAAGGCCTTTTTACACTGAGCAATTAATGCATGCGTCCTCCTTGTCAAATTTAATGTTTTAAATGATATTTGTTCACTTTTAGAGTGTGTATACTGTGGAAGCCTATAATTCAACCCTTGTGATAAATTGGATGGATGTCGTATTTGAGAACCAGAACCTACTGTATAATTTCCAGACAATGGAGAAGAACAGATATGATGTGATAAAGTAAGCTGTACTAATCAAAATATATGCATAATTGTTTCCTCATATTCCTTTTTCTATGGAGTGATTTTCTATAAATCCTTTTAAGTTTTTTTAAGCCTTTATTGTAATGATTCATAACCCTGCTAAGAAGGTTTCTTAAAAAACTATGTTAAAAAAAATCTTTGAAGATTTGTACTGTGATCTTTTTGTAAATCTTGTGATAAAGTCAGAGAGTTATTCAAGGATGAAATAACTGGCGTCAGATGTGTGTTTGTGTTTGGGGGAGGGGGAGGGGGTGAACTGAAATTTGTTTTAAATTATGTGACTTTTGACTTCAAAATTTGTTTCATTTCAAATTCTTTTACTCCTTTCTCTGATCCATCCATGGAAAGGAGAGTCACACCCCAGGGAGTCATTTGAAGATGGGGTCGGATGTAGGGGGGTCCACTGGGTGTGAATAAATCTATGATCATACTTTTCTCTGGCCTGCGTTGCAGCCGGACATGTCATAGAATCCCCGATATAGGACTATACCAGCGGTTTAGACTGTCTGTGACACAGGCTAACTTGTCTCCCCAACCAGCCTCTTTTTGTTTGTACACGTAGCATTATAGCTGACTTGGGAAGTAAACTTGACATTGAGAAATCTGTCATCAAAGACGGCCTGGCCAGCAGTGAATATGATGAACACACAAGGATATCTTGGAAGTATGGTTGTTCAAGTAAGTGTATTTAATTGAATATATTGTGGTACATTCAGACTTACAAGGTGAAGACCTGACTGCAGAAAAAGGTTTCGGCCCTTCAGGCCACAAACTTTTTACTTAGAAAAGATAAGGGCCTGAGAGCATTTTGCATTGGCGACAAACTTGGCCTGCTACATGGAAGTGTTTTGCTTAGGTGACATGTTTTTTTTATGTAGATTTCTTGCATGAATTTAATCTTTTAAAAAAGAGAGATCACTGGACAATGTTTATGTTTATTATAGCTGATCATGCACACACCTATTGCTTATTTTGCTGGGTTAGTATCAATGTATGTCGTGCGGACATGAAAGTGTAACCTCCACAGTGGAACAGGCTCATACGTCCTCTTACCAAATTCACTCAAATTCAATGTTTTCTTATAGGCTATGTATTAACATACAGGTAGCTGTATTGTTCTCTAATTTTTGAGTAATTGGTGATAACAAATCTGTTAACAACTTGTTTCAGGGACTGTGTCTGGCACTCCATTCTTCTTCGTGAACGGTGTATTTGTCAACCAAGCATCTTCAACTTGGACTGTAGAGGACTGGAAAAACCTCATTGATCCCCTTCTTAAATGAGAATCAAGGTAAATTGTAAGATTGCAGGACTAATTGTTTTCTACTTGTGCAAAGTGCTTCTTTTTGGGTCTCAACACTGAATCAAATAATCCATGATTACATCTTCAAAGTATTTTGGCTTTGTTAACTTATTGAGCCTTTCGATAACATGCAGACTCTAAAAATTATTCAAAGCTCAACCAACAAATGGGTTTTTCGCTACCGTCAAACAAATGTTCGGTGGCTCCTCCCAGCTTCTGACTACTGCCGAGTACGCGGTAATCAAATTGTTGAGCAAAGTTCAGACAACAAAACAGTGCTCGGCAGTAGTTGGAAGCTGGGAGGAGCCATCAAACATTTGATTGACAGTAGTAAAAAACACATTATTTTGTCGGGTGAGCTTTGAATTTTAGAGTCTGCATGTTATTGAAAGGAGCAGTAATTTGGATGAGACTTTTCTTTGAACATCCGCCCGCATACATACCTTCCTGATTTGTTTTAGGGGAGCAAGCAGAAGTACACAGGCTAATTTTTCATGTTAATTAAGATATGAAGTTATGAAAACTTAACAGTCTGCTCCAAATGACTGAACAGTCAAGTTGTTAAGTCCACTTCAGCAATAAGTGTATTCTGTTTTCCGTTCATTGAATCAGATTGGAGAATGCTGAGCAGATTGAGTCCATTATGTAACATGAGTTATAACATTTGAATTATATTTACCTTCCTTCATTTACTGTTACAGGTTTTTACAGAACTCAATGTTTTTAACATAGTGTTTCACTTGCATATACAGAGCAAACCCACTGCCTTCCAGACTGCATTATAATTTGCCGGATAAAGGTTGCAAGTGTCCTTTTTTGTTCCCTGAGACAATCTGATTTTAACTTGTTGCAAAGTGGCAAGACCAAAAAATACTGGGGGAGGGGTGGGTTTGGTCCATCCCAGCTAATGCAACTTTGATAGACAGTCAATATTAGACAGTCAATATTATCTGGTTCATGATATGTTTAGTGAGTCCTGCCATAGTTTGGTTATTATAACACGCATTTGACAAAGTTACAATTTTTCCAACATATGTTCAGTTGCAGATGTGTAGATGATGACACGTGGGAGCTCAGGAGAGCTGATCATTAATGTTCTTTCCACTGCTGCCTGACGTCGATGTGCACTGATCTACAACGGACCAGAAATCACAAAATGATTGCAAAAACACAAAATTATAGTCTCAAAGTATGCTTAAAACTGTAAGCTTAAATTATTATTTCTTTATTTTTGACAAAGTTTTGTAAATTGTGAAGAATAGTTAGGCACATTTGTGGAATAAATAAATTCCCAATGGGATTATATATTGTAAGAAATTTAAGTTAGTCTGATTAAACGTTTTGATTTATACACTACAGGTGTACCTGCAAACTTGTTCATTGTCTATTTCTATTGGAAGTGTAAGAGGATATCAGTTGGTTATGACAAAACTTTAAAGGGCTTACATGCCCGCATCCCACGTGACCGATGTTCAATGGTCTTTATCATAAAACAGTCGCATAATACAAAATTGGCCATGCTAGACGGGTAAGTTCAAACCATTAACGACTGACTCATTGAAAACAAAGAGAAGTCTAGCTTTAGCCGTACAGAAGGGACCGTTTTATGTCCCCTCTTCTGATAAAATGATTGACTTGGGAATTAAAAACAACCTTCGTGCCATCAGCCCAGCCTAGTTTGCTACAGTGCTGATAAAAACAACTTCGTTCTGGGATAAAAATTAATAACGTAAATCGAACTATAATTATTTGAAGTGCCTATGAAATGAAACATAATGTGATTGCTGCTTATTTGAAAGGCTTTTCAAAATAAAGAGAAATGGCATTTTCCTAGTTTTTGGAATATGTTCTTTCGTTTAGAGACATTGACGTTTTTGTATTATGCAAATTAGGAAGGTGATGATGTCATAGATAGTTCCACTTAAACAGTTAAAGAATAACTCTAGAAATATTGGAGCGGTGTTCTTCAGACTTGGCACCAGAAGTGTACATCACAAAAGAAACAAAATGACACCTGTTGCGCCGTTGCTATTCGAAGAAACTGTGGAGTAGACACATGAAACTTTTGGCGAGGGTTGGATAACAGCTACTGAAGTTTGTGTATTACACAGCTATTTGCTCTCTAAATCCCTAACCGCTGGAAATTACCGCTGAGCTAACGCTCAAAACATTTCCTAGCCTGAAAATTGGTGACTCCACTTCCCGCTGTGAGATGATCAGGTCATGGTTCAAACGTAAGAAAGTCTCATAATTTCAGCTAACTTCCCCATGTCGAGCCATGACCTCTTATCTACGCAAGATGATCATCGCGCTCACAGCTTAAGCTTGGGCCGCCTGTGGTGACTTTCTCATTAATGTTACAGTCTGTTACTCTGAAACTTGATCATCTCATTTGGCGGATCACCCTGTCATAGCCAAACTACACTTTAGTAGAGACGCATTTGTCATGGGTCCACGACTGAAACATAACATTTTGGTCGAGATATCACTGCTCATTTTGCTGTTTCCACTTACACGAAAAGTCGAAGCAGGTAAGTTTTGTGATACGACTGTTATCAAGTTATGTTAGTATTCCGCAGCGGACTAGGAGGTGGACTAGGGTATTGCTGAAGATTGCTGGACCACAGCTTCTTGACAAATGTCATTACGGACACCTACTCGTCGTCCTATTTCTTCGTTCGTTTTGGTAGCCTTTAAGGTCTTTCTCCTCCGAACTTTAATTGTCTGTTGCTTTGGGGTACGGGTGTTGAGACTCATTACCCGGGGGGTACTCCCAGAAAAACTGGGTTGGGGTGTGCGGTCCGCTTTAAAAAACCCTTACCCTATTTAAGACCAAAATCTGCGATTTTTCCTACTCTATTTATGACCTGACAAAATATTTGGTATCCTATTGAAGGCCTGACCCTTAAATCAATACCCTGTTTCAGACCTTCCTTATAATTAGTTCCCAATTTCAGCCCGATGTGAATTGCATTGTGAAGAGCTTTTGTTGCTGGTCTTGAAAAAAAAAGTAGCTTCTAAAATATCCAGTTTAAGACTAGAGTGCAAAAACCATACCCAATTTGGGACCAAAACGGCCAAAATTGCTACCCCATTTATGACCAAAACGGCTAACAAACCCTACAATGACTTTAGGGCCGCACATACCTATATAGCCCATATAAGGAAGCATCCCCCCGGAACTCTTTCTACCGTGAGCAGGAGCTAACAGGAAAGAATGCTAGTTATTGAGAATTCTGTTACACTCGTGAAAAATGTGGGTGATTGGACGATTTATGCATTTTAAAAACAAGTAAGCGCAAGGTAATCGTGAATGATCTCAGTTTTATTGACTTTTTGATGGCGAAAGTCACGACTTGTTTTCTTAGGTCACTCCAGGGCATGAAATTCCTTTTTGGGGGGCATGGAACGACGGGTAGCAACGAAGTAGATTGTATATTGCATGTAGTGTTTTTACCTCGCTCATTATTATATGACTAGCTCTACACGAGTGGGCTTAGTCTGTCCAGAGACGTTTTACTTTTTGATTCGGGTTATTTTTCTTCGAGCGCGCGAGCGATGCGAGCGGGTGGAGCTCGAGAGCGGCTCTTTCCCCAGCCCCACCCCCTTTCGTTTTGGCTCCTTCATATCCCACGCGCCGGGTTAATATTTTGCTAAGCGTACGAACTCAAAACAAAATAGAGGGTCTGTGGACAGATTAGAGCGGGCTCTGCGCTTCGATTGGCTAACTGCTTGTTCAGCCATATTTGGCTAAATATGAACCGTGAATGCGTCTCCGTCCATCCCCGGTTCATAAACACGAACAAATGACACGAATATCCAACCATCTTGACCTCGTGCTGGGTCAATAACCTAAATATATTGTTACCTTAGCAAACAAGTGCGATTGTGACAGGACTCGTAAGGGTTGCGACTTTGAACTTAAGCTGTCTTTTGTAGGTTTTCTTGAGGCATATACTTACAACAAAGGTTCGCTATCAATTGCCACCGAGGAATCCCCTTGCCAAATCCATCAAGGATGTGGGTCCACTTAACTACGAGTTCTGGACTTTGATGTTATGACGCAAGTTATCATCACGTTTGAAATGACATACAACCCCTAGAGGGTAAAATAGCTATTTTGTAGAAGAACTGGCATGTCTCTGCGCATTGCAGGTAAAGGCAGGAGTCTCATATGTGAAATAGTATTGTAATCATTGTGCAGTGTGCTCAAGAGAACATGAGGATAAAAGAGTTAATCCGCATATTTTTGGGTTGCACGTGACGTCAACATTTTCTAAAATCCAAAACTAAAGAGCCACTAAAGTTATTATCCTCATCAGGCATAAGAAGGGGTAAATTTATATCTGTTAACAACTTTTCAGCTCAATAGCTTGCTTCCTCTAAAAACAGGCACATTTTGAATTTCAGAGTTATGGCGGTGCGTGACATAAAGCTATGAACGCGTTTGTCAGAAAATATATACTTATCTCGTGAGTTTTAGCCGTTTTAGAAATTAAAGTAATAGGGAAAGCGCCTTATATACATGTTAACTCGATCAGTTAAGATAATCAGTCGGCTAGATAGCCAAAGTAAGTTCCATATGTTTACACTATTTTCCGGCCGCCATGTTGGAGAAGAGTCTTCTTTATCAATCTCCTATAATATCACAATTTCTTAACTTGATCCATTGAATGGTTTTTGAATTATTTTTTATTGCGTGACAGTGTAAGCCAAGAATAGACGTTTTCCCCAAGGTAATCCCACTCAAGTTATTTTAAATATGGTACGCAGTTGCCACCCTGTGTTTCCACGCGCGTTGCGTGGATGTTTTCGTGAAAGATGAAAATGTGTGTAGAGCCGATCACAGTGATGTCACCTTTAGGAATGCAGTTCACGTTGATGTGAACATTGTATGTAGCATATTTAAGGTGGCTTACTACAGTTTTGATGGATTATAAGAGCCCGACTTCTAACTCTTTTCAAAAGTGTCCCAAGATGTTTTTCCTCTATTTATCTACAGTTTGCTTGAATCTTTTACCATTCTATGTGAAACTTGAACAATTAAACGTCAACAAATGGCCAAAATGAACGACCGAGTACCTATGGAGAGTCTGGGCACTAGTAGGTTAAATCACGTTTTTCTCAAAATCTACCCGTATGACCCCACCTCAAAATTTCAGGAATAAGAAATTGGCTCCAATTTAACATTCATGAAAAGTAAAATAAAAATCTGTAAGACAGATTTTTTGCAAACTAAGAAAATTTGAGATAAAAAATAGCTCAAAATCTGTCTCACAGATTTTTTTATAACTCGATGATACATGCTAAAGTGGGAATCAATTGTTAAATACACCGAAAATCGTACTGAAAAGTTAAACTGAAATCAAATTCATGCTAATCCTTGGTTGTACTGATGAACAGTTCCTAACCCTCCTATGGAAGTCACAGTCAGACCACTGAACAGTACTGCAGTGCTGATAGAATGGAAAGAACCCGACAATGATCCAAACAGTCCTGTACTGAGCTATAATGTGGAAATGCTAGAGGAGACAGTCCAAGATATGTTTCTTATTTCCAGTTCAGTTACCGTTGGATCCAGTGTCTCTAAACTGGCAATAGGAAAACTGAGGCCTTTCATTAATTACATAGCACGAGTAGCGGTGCAGACGAAAGTTGGCAGGAGATTCAGCTCTGAAGTCTTCTTTAACACCGCTAAAAGTGGTAAGCTAGTGAGAACACTTTTAATCAAAATGTAAGTCTAGAATCCTATTTCGTTAAACTGTCAAATTAATGTTCATGCTAGAAATAGAGAACGCGACCAATTTGGTAGTATAGCGGTATCCCGATATGGTGGGATCAGTTAACAATTATTCCACGAGCGCGCGTTGGATATGAGATGGAAGATAGCCAACTCGGCGCTATGCGCCCCCTTGGCTATAACCATCTCATATCAGGAGCCATAATCGGGGACGGAGACCGTAAGTCTCGGGATTCGCGCGCACCTATGATATGGGACAATTTTTCTATTTTTAGAACAAATTGCGC